GCAACAGGCGGGAGGGGGCAGGGGAGGAGAGACTGTGGACTGTAATGTCTGACCCTGGAAATTAACCCATCTGGGCTCCAGTTTGGCCCCAGTGAAAAGAGATTATGGTTTGACCACCGCTTGACAAGGGCACCGCAGGGAGTCCACCCTTTTTCAACAAAGCGGCCGCCACAGACAGAGCTGTACCTTTCACCCGGGCCTCACGGGAGTGAGGACAGGCCGCTGGTCTAGCAGCAGGGGAATCGCTCACAGCCCCAGGGCAGCCGGAGCTGGGAGACACTCAGCACTCCCTGCTGGTCTCACTCCTCTCCACAGGCCCAGGCCGTCCGTACCGTCCATGACAAACACCATCGTTATTAGGATCATCATCATTAGCCTGCAAGTCTTTGCCAGAAGTCCTTTCATCCAAACCGTCTTCCCACTCAGGCCTCCTTTCCAAACCTCGTCCCACACCCACAGAAACCTTTTCCCTTCCAGGTCACTTCTCCTTGGAGGGGGAGGAGGTTCAGGAACAAGCCCCCCATTTAGAAGTTCTTTCCCTCCCGCGCCTTTCCCTCTATTAAGGAGTGGGGGGCAGAGGGGGCAGGGCTCATACCGCAGTCTCCCCCTTGCTGCTGTGGCTGAGTCTGTGGTAGAAGCGGCGCCACGACTGTAGGGTTTTGCCAGACCAGATCCAGAAGCCGGTGGTGATGCCCACGATCATGGTCATCAGGTACTTGATCATGAAGACGGTGAAGTCGGGGCTCATGGGCGGGAAGTGGCCGGGCGGGCAGGGCACCGCGTAGCTCTTGCAGGTCTGCAGCAGCCAGGTGCGCTCCCAGTGCTCGCGGAAGGCCTGCTCGTAGAAGTAGCAGGCCAGCACGATGGTGGCGGGCACGGTGTAGAGCACGCTGAAGACGCCGATGCGCACCATGAGCTTCTCCAGCTTCTCGGTCTTGGTGCCGTCGTGCTTCATGATGGTGCGGATGCGGAAGAGCGACACGAAGCCGGCCAGCAGGAAGGACGTGCCGATGAAGAGGTAGACGAACAGGGGCGCCAGCACGAAGCCCCGCAGCGCGTCCACGCTGGACAGGCCCACGTAGCACACCCCGCTGAGCAGGTCCCCGTCCACCTGGCCCATGGCCAGGATGGTGATGGTCTTGACCGCGGGCACCGCCCACGCCGCCAGGTGGAAGTACTGCGAGTTGGCCTCGATGGCCTCGTGGCCCCACTTCATGCCGGCCGCCAGGAACCAGGTGAGCGACAGGATGACCCACCAGATGGAGCTGGCCATGCCGAAGAAGTAGAGGACCATGAAGAGGATGGTGCACCCCTCCTTCTTGGTGCCCTGCGCCACCGTGCGGTAGCCGTCGTCGGAGAAGCGCTCCACGCACACGGCGCGGTCCTCCAGCAGGAAGCCGGCCACGTGCGCCACGGCCACCATGAAGTAGCAGCCCGACAGGAAGATGATGGGCCGCTCGGGGTAGCTGAAGCGCCTCATGTCCACCAGGTAGGTGAGGACCGTGAAGAGCGTGGAGGCGCAGCACAGCACCGACCACACGCCCACCCAGAGGCGGGCGAAGCGCCTCTCCTCCTCCTTAAAGTACATGAGGCCGTTGGCGCGGCCAGGCTCGCACGGGGCGCCGCAGTCGCGCTCGCCCAGGAAACGGTAACCCAAGTAGGGGGGGACCTTGAGCTGCCGGGGGCATGAGAAGGGAAAGGAGGACCTGCCCCTGGTATCAGCCGCCCCCGGGGGCAGCGCGGTGAAGGGCAGGTCGGGCAAGTAGGGCGCGGTGGGGTAGG